TGCAGCTAATTTTATAATTCTTAGGTGTCCTAGGCACTTAAAATATCAGGAACATAGGTGATGCTCTGTAATCTTAATCACACTATCAGGAAATTGTCTTACAAATCTTATTAATGCACAGGTTGCAACTGTTATGTCTGTAGTGCTCTTTTTCCCTCAGTTCTAGATAGAGCAAGGGCTCAAGCTTGTTGGTCACGCCTTGTCTGTTCTCACTCGATGTCCACCTCTTGATTCTTTTTCTGTGAGTTTCTTAATCATTTCAACTGTACTTTTCCTTTTGTCTCTACTGGGCTTTAAATTCAACCACCATACTTTATTTTAATCTCTATTTTATTTTATTTTATTTTATTTTATTTTATTTTATTTTATTTGAGACAGGGTTTCTCTGTGTAGCCCTGTCTGTCTTGGAGCTCATTCTGTAGACCAGGCTGGCCTTGAACTCTCGGAGATCCATCAGCCTCTGCTTCCTGAGTGCTGGAGATGAAGGCATTTGCACCACCCAGCTACTTTTTTATCTTTATAAAATCGTTTTCTTCTGCACTGTTCACCATCATTACTGATGATACCCAAGAAACATAAACCCTGCCTGTTCTCTTTCTCACAGCGAGTCTATCTTAGAGGGTGACATTTGTTCTAACATGCTGGTCTTTTGTGTTGATCTACAGTGTCTTATCATATGTTCAGAGTCCCTCGGACTGCCTATTCTTATGGATAGATTTTCTGTGTCTGATCCAATGCAAAGGAGATTTAAAAGTTCTATGTGAATTTTTAGGCTGTTTATTTTGTTTGTGTAGCGATGAGAGGCTGCCTTTTGAGACTCAGTTCTCTCCACTACCTGTGTCCGAGGACTCAAACTCAGGTCATCAGGCTTGGTTACAAGCACTTTCACCTACTAAGCCATCTTACTGTCCCCTATGTGAGTTCTTTAGATGCTCTGTTATTAGCAATATGAATAGCTTTCAAGACATTCCCAATATTTTCCTCCAGTAATATCTTTATTACCTACCCCTCTAAATACAGTCATTAGTGTAGAGCCATTACCACCAAGAACCTGTTGAGGACCTGCTCCTTGACAGACTCTTTGTTAAGAGCTAAAGGACAGTGGTAATCCAGATAGAGTCTACCTCTCTGTCCTCAGTGGGTAGCTTAGAAGTCTGGGGATAGCATAGCTGTGAACAGTATGATGACAGTTGCCTCAAGAGCAGGAGCTATGAGACTGAAGATGAAGATCCAACCTTAGTATTTGAAGAGGTGACTTGGGGGGACATGGCATGTGTGAAAGGTCCAGTAAGACCTGAAAGATGCTAACCTGCAGTCACCAGCTACTCCCTGGGCTCCAGCTTCCCAGTGTCGTGCGGAGCTAAGTAAGGGTATAATCTTCCTCAGTGGTAAGAAGACAGCTAGCAGGAGACTATGGTGCCTTCTGCATTTTCATGTAGCTCATGACCTTAAAAGTAAGTCTTGCAGAGTAAGAGGCGGAGAGGGAAGCCTCCAAGGAAGCCAGATGTGCAGAAAATGGGAAAGGGGGACAGGTGAAGGTACTTGGGGCTCTGAGTCAGGGAGCAGTGACCACAGAGGGAAAGACGTCCTCAGACACCAACAATGGAGCACAGACTGTATCTCAAGTATAAGGAACAAGAAAAGAGTGTTTAACCAGGTAAGGGACTGAGAGATAAAGTACCACAGTCTCCGACAAAACCAGGGAGACACCTATAAGCTGGGGGCCAAAAGACCAGTGTGGAGATGTAGTGCTGTCTGATACAATACTGGTGGAGATCTTTTGGCAGGTTTCAGGGAAGTAAGGACTAAGAATCATGCCACCTCTTCCCAGTTATCCTGTTACTAAGTGTACCACTCACCCAAGCTAACACAGAAGTACAGGTGGCAGAGATGTTGACAAAAAAATGATCACGTGTCCTCTGGTTATCTGCCGTACATGGCAACTCACTTGACAGACTATAGGAGAGGCAGAGGAATTATAAAATATAACTAATGCACCAATCACTGTTTTAGGTAAGGATGATTGGTTTGTGTAAAATGACCACACAAAAGAATAAGAATGTTCTAGCTAACTGGTCCCAAAATTCTCCAAGTCGGGTGCAGTGCCCGCAATGCAGAGTTTGGGAGGCTGAGGTGGGAAGATGCCAGCCTATGCTATAATAATGAAACCATGTTCTAAAACAAAAACAAAAAGTGTCTTCTTCAAAGTACTTTATTGTCTCAAAGGGACGAGTTAAGTTCAGCAGAGACACCTAGCAGCTATGCTAGTAAACTATGCGAATAAAGTCAACATTGCCAAGAAGAAAGAAATGGACATCTTGTACCTCTGAAGGAGAACATCAGGTCACTTCAGTGTTTCAGCCAGAACCTCAGATGAGACGCATTCCACAAAATAACTCTCTGGTAAACTTCCAAAGCATCAAATTCATGAAACAAAAACAAACAAACAACAAACAAACAAACTAGGAGACCTTAAGACCAGATCTGAAGATCTGACTTCATACTGGGTCCTACTCTTGGAAACTGGTAAAATTTTAGGAAGTCTGTATAGTAAATGTCCTGGTTTTGTGAACTACATTGGGAGTCAGAGAACCTTACTTTTATGGACCCCAAGTGGAAGTACTGAGAAGGGGGACTGAGTAGTGACTTATAGCAACAATAGTCATGTCATACAGTGTGGAACCAAAATAGTTGTTCTTCATCTGGCTCCGCTCCTGTGACTACAGGCCGTACACATTTAGCATTTGAGGTAGGGACCCAGAATTCTCTACCATGTGGTCTCTTATCCTGGAAGGACTCCCATATATATTGTCCACTGGCCATACTCCATGGGAATGAAAAACTGCAAGGCTTTGGAACACAAATGTCTTTTTATTTTATTTTATTTTATTTTTGTTTTTTTCGAGACAGGGTTTCTCTGTATAGTCCTGGCTGTCCTGGAACTCACTCTGTAGACCAGGCTGGCCTCGAACTCAGAAATCCGCCTGCCTCTGCCTCCCAAGTGCTGGGAACACAAATGTCTTTTTAAAAACAAAACAAAAAACAAAGACAAAAAAAAAACAAAAAACAAACCATATTCTGATGGACAAAGCTCTTTCCAAGGCCTAGACTCTGAGAGTTGGAAGAGAGAGGTCCCCTCTTTTTAGGAGCATTGAAGCATAGTAACCATATTTAATTCACCAAGTATGCTTCTTGAAGGTTCTTTCTCTCTCTTGCCAAAGTCTCCTTGGACATCAGAATTTTTAAATCAAAGAGGCATGGGAGTAGTGCATTTGGAAGAGGGTTGGTCAGGAGACTTATTTCAAACCACTTGCAAAATATTTTTATATTAATATGCAGTACATTTCTCTTATCTCATTGTTGTAAAAATGTGCACCTTCCTAGTGAGTTCTAGTTTTTAATATCTCCTGATGAGGCCATTTGCCACTTGCAGAGACTATTCTGTTCATGTGTTAGAAACCTGGTCCCCACTCAATAGTGTTCAGAGGTAGGATATTTCAAAGTGATTGGGTTATTAGGATATTTCAAGGTGATTAAGTTATTAGGGTTCTGGCTTGCAGCACAGATTGTAGTAATCACAGAAGTAAAGTTTGTTATAAAAACTGAGCTCACGTCTCACTACTGCCCCCTGCTGTGCCTGCCTTCACTAAGAAAGTATTCACTCAAAGCCAGCACTGTGCTCTGCTGTGGTGCTTTCTCCAGAGAGCATTTCTATTCTTTGTAAAAGACCCAATCTCGTGTATTCTGAGGTGCAACATGAGTACACCACAGTGTGTTATTTAGTGGGATGTGTGTCAGTTTTTTTGATATTCCTCTATAAAAGCCTCATTTCTTTTTTTTTTTTTTTTTTTTTAAATATTTATTTATTTATTGTATTGATGAGTACACTGTAGCTGTCTTCAGACACACCAGAAGAGGGCATCCAATCTCATTACGGATGGTTGTGAGCCACCATGTGGTTGCTGGGATTTGAACTCAGGACCTCTGGAAGAGCAGTCAGTGCTCTTAACCGCTGAGCCATCTCTCCAGCCTAAAAGCCTCATTTCTGTGGTGTGTGTTTTATATATATTTTCTCCAAGTCTGAAGTTGGTCTTTTGTTCTTTTAAGTGTTGTTCAAAAGGGGAAACGTGTAATGTAGTTCAATTTATCAGCATTGCCTTCCAAACATGATGTGGTTGCTTTTGCATTTAAAACATCTTTGCCTAACCTGAAGTTTTAAGGATTTCTCCTGTCCTTTAAATTTTAAGCTCTAGATAGTAAATACAGGTCTGTGATCCGCTTTCATATTTTTTGTATAAAATTTATAATATAGATTGCATTTAATTTATCTGTTCCTGAATTTTCAATTGTTTTAATGTGTTTGAAGAAGAATGACAGAGCTCATTTGCCTGAAATGTGTTATTGGGGGGTTGAGAGAGTGATGGAAATGACTGCTGGAAAGTGTGAAAAATGTCCCCATTCCCACTCAGCACCAGGCCTTGGAGTCCCACCTGACTCCAAACACTACTCAAGTCCTGTCACAGAGACAAGCTGGCCGTGGGACTCGCTAGGCCTGCTGTGGATACTGTTTGACATTTTTGGAAAAAAAAAAAAGATTAGTTTATAACCTCTGAGGTTTGGACTATTACTCCATACAGCTTGTAGGAACATAGCCTTCCTAAAATAGGTAAACAGATTGATGTGTAGACAGTTGTAGGGAGAGAAGGAAGAAAAGAAGGGAACAGACAAATGGATAGACAGACAAACAGATGGACGGGGGAATGGATAAATGAATCAATGGTCTGATAGATGGGTGGACTGATGTATAGTGAGAGGAATCATGGAGGGACGGGTGTGTGGAAGGAGAAAGACATGGGCAGAAGAGTGGAGGTTCAGTGGGAAGGTCTGAGGGGAGAGGATGGGGTAGAGGGAGGACTGGGTGGGGAAAGTCAGGTGGTAGAAGCAGTTGTACAGGGGGAAAGCCCATCGGGCCTCACTGACCGTGATGCTCCTGTCCACAGGGAGTTTCCTGGTCCCCTACATCATCATGCTCATTGTGGAGGGGATACCACTCTTGTACCTGGAGCTGGCCGTGGGGCAGCGCATGCGGCAGGGCAGCATTGGTGCCTGGAGGACCATCAGCCCCTACCTGAGCGGTGTCGGTATGTGGGATAGTTTTTCAGTTCCCAACAGATTCATGTTCCTGGGCATCACAGGTGTGCAGGTTGTTGCTCATGAGCAGGACCTGTGCCTGGGTGAACTGACAGCTCAGGGAGGGCTGCCATGGCACTTGGGCAGAGAGGGCCCTGGATTCTGACTCCTACATGCAGCCTCTTGGGAAACTCCCACCTCAGGGTGTCTCCTCTCTGGACCTCAGTTGAAATTCTGTGGATGGTTGGACATAGCTCTTGACACAGAAACATTTATTCAATCCCAGCCATCTATCATCTGGGAATGTAAACAACTGCCCCCTGTTTAATGTGTGTCTGGTACTGACATGACAGTGTGTGAGCCCATTTCATTTCACACCATATAGGAGCTGTGAGGCACCATAAATGACGCCTGTGTTCAGAAGCCAAGACACTTATACATACCAGGTGTGCACCCTTCCAGAATGACCTTCAGTCACTGTTCCCTGGCACCTCCAGGATGTGCCTCTCCTGCTTCGTAAAAGTCCAGGACTCGGGGCCATCAGTGGCCATAGATGTTCTGTGAACCTTCATGCCCCAGAAAGGGGAGCAGGCAGGAAGGCTAATGGGTCAGGAATGGAGAGGGGTCAATTTGCTGTGACCTGCCTGGTGCGGCTATGGAAAAAATATGTCAGAGACATTAGGAGTCATCTTCAAACTGCCTCCTCACTGTGAAGAGCTGTGAAGGCCACCATAGAGTATGCTGAGGTAGCACAGTATGCTGCACATCTGGAACACAATGAAGGCTGCCTGGCCTCTTGGACACTAACCCGCACTTCCTGGCCTGAACTCCCAGTGGGGGGGGAGAGAGCTGCTATATAATGACTTTGATACTGGTATATGATGTGTTTATAAAAAGATAAAGAGAGGAGGGATATGTTCTATGGAGGTATGGTGAAGGATGGGGGGACGGGGTGCCTCAGCGGGCCCATGCCAAGGCATCCCTTCCTCCTGAGGGACCAGCCACACGACGGTATAGTAGAGAATAGAGTGTTTTCAGGGCTTGAGGAGGGGAATGGAGAGGGCAGTAGAGGCAGAGAAAGGCAGAGGGGAACAGAATAGAGAAGTAGAGGATTAGAGGAGTAGAGGCTGGCCGTGAACACATGGAGAGAGAGGAGGGAAGGGAAGCAGAGAAAGAGCAGGAGAGAAACAAGAGAGGGGAGGCAAGCAGCCCCTTTTATAGTGAGTCAGGCCTACCTGGTTGTTGCCAGGTAACTGAGGGGCGGAGCTTAGACAGAAAGCTAACAGTATAGTTCAGCAAACCCAAGGCCAGCAACTCTGTCTAGCTTATATGTGGGATGACAAAGACTGGGGATGATACTCCTGAGGGCCAGCGTGAGTCCACTTTATAGGAACCTGACAGCAAATCCTCCCTTGTTCACAGTGCCTCTGTGGGACCCTCCTAGGTCAGAGCAGGCTGGAGGGCAGGAGTTGTCCTGTCCCAATCTCACCCTTTTGCTACATGGATGGCTTGGGTGCAGTGACTCAGCCTCCAAAAGGAGCAAGTATCATATTAGGCCTATGGCTGGAACCTCTCCATAGCTCTACTGGGTGGCTTTTGACAAGCTCTGAGCTTCACTTTATTCTTTGAAAGGAGGACAATACTGCTGTGACTACCAAAGGCACACAAAGTACTGAACCCAGGACCTGACACTTACATGTCAGAAAACTGCCCTTAGTCTCCTGTCTCAGATGATCAGAGGTTAGGGGGAATAACCCCAGGTAGAAGTCATAGGTGTGATGTCAGGGCTAATGAAACCTTAAGGAAAAGGGATCCTCTCCTGGGATGTCACCAGAGGCCTGTCATTCAAGTGCCACTGGCTAAGTCACAAACATTCGATCTTCAGCTTGGCCCTTCTGCTTGCTCACAGGTGTTGCCAGTGTGGTGGTGTCCTTTTTCCTCGCCATGTACTACAATGTCATCAACGCCTGGGGCTTCTGGTACCTCTTCCACTCCTTCCAGGTGAGCTCTGTTCAGAGCAGACTGAACAAGGGCAGAAGATTTGTGGGCAGGTGGGGAGCTGGTTGAGGATAAGAACACCAGCCTGTAGGAGCTCTCTCAGTGAGGGGAGACGGTGGGAGAGGTCACACAGCTGGAACCAAGTGGGGACAACTTGGATCCACTACTTGTCACAATGTAAGGACACACTATGCATCTGTGTGTGTGTGTGCACAGTTCTCCAGAGAAGTTCCACAGCTTCCACTGCAATATCTGCAGGAAGTGTCCTGAAAACAGAACAAACCGTCTCATGACAGACTCAGAGAATCTGGGGCAAGGTCTTATGGGGATGACATCCAGTAAGTCTGAAATGGTTGCTCATCCTCCTGTCCTGTCTTCACCTCACCCCTCCTCTTCTTTCTTTTTTCCCTTCCTCCTTTCTTTCTTTCTTTCTTTCTTTCTTTCTTTCTTTCTTTCTTTCTTTCTTTCTTTCTCTCTATCTCTCTTTCTTTCTCTCTTTCTATCTCTCTCTTTCTTTCCATCTTTCTTTCTTTGTTTGTTTGTTTTTGTTGTGTTGTGTTGTTTTGTTTCTGTCTTTAGAGACAGTATTTTCTTTGTGTAGCACTGGTCGTCCTGGAACTCACTCTGTAGATCAGGCTGGCCTCGAACTCACAGAGATCTGCCTGCTTCTGCCTCCCAAGTGCTGCAATTAAATGTGTGAGCCACCACTGCCTGGCCAACAGGAGCTATTTCCAATAACAAGCATTTTAAACAGTGCATTATCCAGATTCTTATCACTGATACTCTGGAAGGGCCTAGGCAGGCCTTGTGGGAAATAACTAGAAGAACAACGGCTCCACACTGAGAGCTGGCCTTTGTACAGAGATAAGAGCTCTTCCTCTCCATCATTCACGTTAGTTCTCCCCATTATCAACCTTCCACTCTCAGAGACCCTATTCCGCTGCCCCAACTCTCCTTCTAGCATCTGCCTCCATCTCAGCCTTTTCCCAGATGGAAAAAGAAAAGAAGGATCTAGAAAAACCCACTTACTATCTATATACATTCTATACATCACAGGTTGGTGGACTTCCCCTTACCCACACCCCAATGAACTCTCTCCCAAGGTCACAGGGTAATGACACAGCAGACCTTCACTTACACTTGCTATGAGCCAGGCATGTCCTTGGTACACATGAGTCTACACTCACATGCTCATCACAGCCGAGAGCGTTGTCCAGTCCTGCAAGCTACAAGCTGCTTTACAAGACTCAACTTCACGGGATGGGGAGGGGGGACTCCTTTTCAGCAAGTGCCTCCGGCCATGCAGATGTAGAGATGCTATCTTTCCCTTCTGATGCAGATGAGGGGAGAGAAGAACTTTGAGTTTCTCAGTTGTTCCATTGAACCAATTTTCACATAACCTGGAGCTTCTTCGTGCAGCATGTACATTAAAAGCCTGATATTCAGCTCATCCTAAGCAAAAGATCCCTGAGATCTTGGGTACAGTCGAGGTATCCTCAGGTTTGCAGCCAAATATGTGAAACAGAGTGGGTTAGAGTGTCCTCATGGTGGGGTGGGCTGAGAATGGACTACATGTTCTGTTGGCTAGGCAAGGCAACCGAGCTTTGCTTTGCAAAAGCATGGAGCTTTGCAGTCCATGAGGGCTTCTGTGATTTGGCTGCTGGTTCTCACCAGTGTCTCCTTCCTGTGACCTCCCCATCCAAATGAACTCACCGTTCCAAGAATCTCATCCAAGTATCCTCACAGCTCATTTTTTTTTTGCCTCTTTTTGAATTGTATCTTATTTAGTTTATGTGTATGGGTGTTTTGTCTGTATGTATGTCTGTGTACCACATACATGCCTGGTGCCTGCAGAGGCCAAGAGAGGGTGTTAATACCCCTGAGACTAAAGGTACAGGTGGTTGTAAGCTGTCATGTAGGCGCTGAGACTCTAACCTGGGTCCTCTGGAAGAACAGCCAGTACTCTTAACTAGTGAGTCCTCTCTCCAGCCTACAACTACAAGGACCCTGAAGGTCTAGGCCAGGAAGCCTTTGCTCTACTGTACTCTGTTGCCCAAAGCAAACCAGACTAGCCCATATATACAGAACGAGGTGTAAAGCCTGCTGCCAAAGCCAGTTCCTATCGTCCTACCCAGACCTTGGCTTCTCCCTTACCTCTCTATTGATTCTCACTTCATTCCAAAGGATCCCCTGCCGTGGTCTGTCTGCCCACTGAATAGTAACCGCACAGGCTATGATGAGGAGTGTGAGAAGGCTACGTCCACACAGTACTTCTGGTACAGGAAAACACTCAACATCTCACCGTCCATCCAGGAGACTGGAGGAGTGCAGTGGGAGCCGGCGCTGTGCCTCACCCTGGCCTGGCTCATGGTCTATCTGTGCATCCTGAGAGGCACTGAATCTACTGGCAAGGTGGGCTGGGCATTGCGATGGTGCTGGATCTGCATGGGTGGATGAGTAGTGTCTTAACACAGGTCGATGCCAGGGGCTGTGTCTTGCAGTCCAGAAGTAGAGGCTTACTGGATCAGAAGGCATGTGGTGTTATTGGCACGTTCCTCTACTAGCTGACAGACTTGGTTGAAGTTGTAACACTGCATCTGAAGTGAGAGGACACAGCCAGCTTTCAAACTCAGCTATGCCAGGGCTTTTCATGGAAAGCTTTAAACATCTGACAATTCAGTTATTCCCCCACCCCCAGATGCCAAAGCTATTATTATAGAGAGAGACCTCAACATGGGCAGCTTCCACTGAGTTTATTGTGTGGTTGGATTAGAGGTCCCATCTCAAAGTGCTTTCAGTGACTCAATGATGCCTAAAACTGTTGGATTATCCCTCTTGGTTTGTGTTTTTCTTGGTTGTTGTGTGGTTTGAGGTTTTGGTTTTTGTTTGGGCTTTTATTTTAAAAGTGTCTCCTTATGTAGTTTAGGCAGGCCTAAAATTTACTATATAGCCCAAACTGGCCTCAAACTCATAGTGAACCCCCTGCCTCAGCTTTCTGAGTGTTGGGCAGACCATAATGCCTGGATTTTGCCTTTTGTTTGCCTAAGACCTTTCTCCCTGTTGGATGTCCAGGACATTCCTCCTAGGGCTAACATGTCTGCTGAGTTTCCATCACCTGCACCTGTCTCAAGCTTGAGTTAAGTGTTCCACACTCAGATACCCTGCCAAGCAGATCCATAGTTGGACACGTGCCTGCATTGTCTTATTCTTGCAGTAGTCCTTTCAGAGGAGATACATGATGACACCCTAAAAGACTTAGATCAAGTGATAGCCCAAGATCACGGCAAAGGACAGCAGAGTCAGGACAGAGCCCAGATTTACTGCAAGGATTTCCCATCATGTTGGCGACGCCCCATGAATGTCCTCTTCATGTCTTTTCTGACTTAGTCACATCTGATTTTCCTCTTCCGAGAAAGCCACAGTCCCTTAGCTCTCACTCTCCTGATCACCCGAGCCGCCTGCTCCAGCACTGCCATGCCTCTCATGAGTCATCAAGCTTAGAACAACCTATGCCATTAGATATTGCACGGCAACCCCAGTGTTGTGCCTGATACGACACTGCAGTGGTTACTAAGTCCCCTGGTGGTCAGCTTCTAGAAGCACTTGTCCCATAGCTGAGCATAAGAACCAAGGAGCCCAGGTGCTTTTTCTCAATTGAGCTGCCTCTGCGGCAGCTGCTCTGTCCCAACCTACACCAAGCATGATCCAAAAGATCTAAGGGTGATGTCTGTATCCTTAAGGATTAAGGCAGACCTTTCTTGTCCAGACCTATTAAAACTGTGACGTTCAACAGACCTTGGACATGATGACATCAATCCTCAACATCTATTTTCTCTGCTGATGCTATGACCCTCTCCCCGACAGAAATGCCCTGGTAGCTCCGTGTACAGGGAGGGCACTGGGCTTGTTAAAGATGCTGCCTTTTCCTTCTCTGTTAAAATATATGTTATTCTCCTCTGAATTTTTAGTTATTGGTTAGAAGTTATTTCTCCTGATAGGTTAGGCTGGATTGCACGTCCAGCCATCCTTCTCACCAGAGAGAGAAGGGAGCCATTTTGGTGAGGACTCCAGAAAGTCTTGAAGAAACATGGTCCATTGGGTCGAGGGAGGAAATTTCCAGAGCTTTCCATGAGTGTCCTCTAAGTGCCCAGTGTTGTGTACCTGGGCCAGACCTCCCCACACCCCTGAGTTTGTTTCATACAAGGTTAGAGGACCCTTAATTATTTGCATCTCTATCTGGTTTGATGTTTTACATATTTTGGTATGTTAAATAGTCTCCTAAATGTATAAGAAGCCATGTTAAACATACCCTATATTTTGCCTGATATCTCTCTGACAGTCTTAGAAATTCTTGAAATATGGCGCCATGCCAAGGAGGAGGTGGAAGACTGAGCATAATTCAAGTGCATTAAGACATGGGTCACCATACATGTATACTAACACCAAGTCTTGGGTCTCTGTGGAAAAACATTGAAACAGATGGCTATAAGCTATTGTAAACAGGCAGCTCTTGTGGAAATTTACCAGCCTGAGTAGTCATAGACCTTGTAAATATGTAGCCTTGGCAGATAATACCAACTTAGATAAGGACAAGTGAATCATAGGCAGAGTCATAGTGACCTGTCCCCTGAACCTTCACCCAGCTGATACCCTGTTCTGAAAGATATCTGTATTCACCCTGAACATCCACACTCCAGTGTCATCCCCTTCTCCATGTCCTGCCTTTCTGTGTTTATAACCCCTGTGTGAATGAATTATGATTTGAAAAAAAATAAATTATTAAAAAAAAAAGACATGGGTCACCAGCTGTGTTGGTGGATTCAACCTAAAAGAATAAAATTTCCCACTCAGGCTAGGCAAACATGTACCTGAAAGCTCTTTCTTTGAGGCTTCTCAAAAGTCAGGGTGACCCCCAAGTCTGAGATGACCCTGCCAAAGCAACCAAGCGTGCATTCTCAGATTATGATGCATGCCAGTAAAGACAGAAGATTGGCTTAACCAAACAATGAGACATCTTATGAAAGATGCCACAACGTCCCATCGGTACTATTTATTGCATTTATTGTGGGGACTTTGTTCCAGTCTCTGCTTTCCACTTATAGATGTGCCTGGCCAGGTCTCTCTCAGGTACTATCCTGGAAAGCTGGCTTTGCCCCAAACTATTGAATTAATTTCCCTTTTAGGGACAACAACATAGATATTGTAAGTGACTGGTCTTCTTGCTTTTCTTAGGACCCAAATTTGGCTCAAATACTGAACAGAGAGACTCACACATATGGTTCAGGCTCCTTCAACCCATTCTTACAGACAGAGAAGCTGTAGGAAGGTGGAAAGAACCCTGGGTACCTGTTGCCTCTAGTCCACTGAAGGAGACATTTCATGCTGACAACAGATGTGGTCAGTCATGTCCCATACTTCCTTTC